ACTTTTGGAATGAACAATAGCTGCGAGCACGATGGTCAGTTAAATTAAAGGAAAAAAAAGAAGAAATGGACAGACACAGGTGAAAGTAGTGCAAGAAATAGTGAAAATATTAGAAATTTATACTGAATGATACTGTTCAAATATCTTCTCGAATCAATCGTGAAAGATTATTAAATGTTATTGTACCAATCTAAAGGAAATGTCAGGATTAACCGTCGAAATCTCGAACAAAAAAGAGACATGTCGAACAATGTAAAAGTATGATTTGTGTTATAATACAGGGAATTAAAGGGATCAATTGATCAAAATCAAAATTTTCTGCGCAAACGTATTGATATTAAAATATTAATTCTAAGATATAATATTAAATATTTATTACATAACATTATATCAATATTTAATAATATTATTAACTGTATAATATATTATATATATAAATTATAAATTATGTAACATTCTAATATTGTAATATAATGATAACACGATAATAATACTATAATTATAATATTATATAATTATACTATGATACAAATAATTATATAATACATATAATAATACTAATAATACAATATATTGTTATCTATATAGGTTAGATAACAATGCTAATAATACAAATGAAAATAAAATAAAATATTAATATCCCATAAGAGATGGTTACACAAGAAATTAAATTATTCTTCAACCCCTAAGAAAATTCTAAAATTATTTTGTCGTTGACTTCGATATTTTAACACGTCCAATCGCGGTGATGCCAAAGGTCGGAACGAAACAATGAACTCTGTAATTTTGTCGGGCGACCACGACCGAGGGACCCAGGGACCGTTTTTCGCGCGCCACCACATGGCCCAAGGCTGCCAGTTTCACTGCCGGATGCGAAAGCTCATGAGATTGAGCTATCAGTCATCTATCGATCACTGCAACTGTCCGGCGAAAAATAAGAAGACACTACTCTTGTAGAAATCAAACGAACCTGTTCGTTTATATTACACAACCGAACAATCGTCAAGAATCGATCGAGGGTTGCGATAAAGTGTTCTAAATGTGTTTGCGATATTTGTATGAAACATTTTACAGGTAGTGAATGAAAACTATTAAATATTGTTAGGTGTTTAGGTACGTCGTAAATGCATTCGTTTTTCTTATCTCTTTTTTTTAATAAAACATCAAAATTATTAATTTTTAATTAAATTAAAGTTGAAACACGAGTTTCTCATGTTTTAAAAATTTCATGCATTATACATTTCAAAAGTTATTTCTTTCAAAGGAAAAATAATGAAAACTATTAAATATTGTTAGGTGTTTATACGTCGTAAATGCATTCGTTTTTCTTATCTCTTTTTTTTAATAAAACATCAAAATTATTAATTTTTAATTAAATTAAAGTTGAAACATCGAGTTTCTCATGTTTTAAAAATTCTATACATTATACATTTCAAAAGTTATTTCTTTCAAAGAAAAAATAATGAAAAGATCAGAAGATGGAAACACAGTAATAAAAGAACAAAACAGAGGCTCGCCTGTGCTTTCTAATTTTCTTGTTTAAATTTATGAAATTCGATTGTACATTTAGCTTCGATCATTCTCTCGAAACGACTTATGAAACGAATTTGCAACAAACAAAAATCTGATTAATGGAACGTGCATCCAAGTAAATACGAATGCATCGAATATGCAATTCTGTGGATTCTACTTCATTCAACGAAAAGTCCTCTCATTATATATCGCTGTATTTGCAAAAGCATAATACTTAAATCAAGTGCAACTCTGATCACCTAATAGAATTTCAGTGAACGAGCATAATTATTTGATCGAAGATTTTCGTCAATTCTCAACGCGAATTATTAATTACTTCTTATAGATCCGGACACAAGGATGATGACTGGCTAAGTATCGTTAAACTTCAGAATACCACTCGCTGTGAAAAGTGACTTCAAGTGCGAACGAGTCTGCCGGATTTAACGCAGAGGAAAGTCGAAAAATCACATCGCTACGAATCACGAGAAGTTACGCCGAAATTTCTAAACTTGATCGAGCCAGACCTATCGTTCCGTTCACCAGCGTTCACCCTTCGCATCTCCGCCCATCGACCTGCGAAACCGATATATAGGAAAATATTTTTCCACCGAGAACACGCCCGGCTGTCTACGATTTTTACACCGTAGCCACCGTTGCCTTGCCGTTGTTTCCCCGTGCTCAATTTTCGGGAACAAATCAATCGACGGATCCCGTTAACAGAGTGTAAAGGCCCTCGACGCGTATTAAACGCCCGTTACGCGAATCTACTATTTCTATAAAACCGGCGCGCAACATTTTATTCGGCCGTAGGTAGAAAATTCGGACGCCCGAGCAAATAAATCAAGGGGTTGGGAAACACGCACCCCTCGAACTATGCCGCCGATACGATTAAGGCTCCGCGATGAAAAAGTCTACGCGCGAAAACGGCAGGGGGGGGAAATTTATCTGAAACTCGACGGTCGTCGTTTCGGTTTTTTTTTTTTTTTTTTTTTTTTTTTTTTTTATCGACGTTACCATTCCCTTCTTTATCGAGCCACGCTATCGGGTGATTAATGACTGCTCCCACTACGAGCAGATGGCGTGCCGATTGCCACCGTGAATTATTAATTGCCACGATCTATGGGGAAACCGGACGATTTCTTGTTTCGTGCTCGAAAGGCAGGCCCGAGATCAACCTTTCACTGTTCTTTCTAAATCACGGACCATTACTTTCTCGAAGCCTAATTACGAAGGCCCCGGGTAACTTTCATCGTAATTACCGGCAACACCTACATATATCTCTTTCTCTCGTAATTCCGCCGAAGCAATTACGAAGCTTAGATATCATCGTTAACTTTACTTGTTACCTGCACAGCCTTACGAAAGAAGAACTTTTGCTCTAGCATTAATATCCATAAATGAGCGTGCCGCTTCCTCATTCTTAAGTTTCCGAGTTTGCACCACGTTATGGTCGGAATCTTTTGCAACCGCTGGCTTAGACACGATTCGCATCATACTTTTTACGTAATAGGAATTGTTCTTTCCTCGAGGGCATTTGAAATTTCAGAATCGTCCGGAACAGTGAATCAAAATGATGAGTAAATGTTTCTCTCCCTTTTTTTTTCTTCCCCTGAACGATTTGCATGCCTATCAGGTATAATCGAATCTGAGAACCAGTTTATCTACGTCATGTTCTTTATTATTATTACTGATATTCCCGACTCTGTTTCATAACTGGTTGTCTGTTCATACTCTGGTTGTAATATAATATCTGTTATGTCTAGCGATTACTCTGATTGTTTTTGCACTAGGTTGTCTAATTAACTAGACCAAAAAGAAGAGATACAATAATCTTGAAATGATCTATAATGATCTATCTTGAAATAACGTAATATCTTGTTTAGTAATTATTTTGATATTAAAAAATTGATATTAACTGACGTTATTGTTACCAGTATTATGAATATTAAAAATAATGTTCACAATAATAATATTAATAGTATTAAATAATTTACTAATATTAATGTTAATATAGTAACATTACTAATATTAATATAATATAATATAATATTAATATAATAATAATATTAATAATATTAAATAATTTACTAATATTAAGAATAGTAAAAATAATATTCACAATAATAATAGTAATAATATTAAATAATTTACTAATATTAATATAATATTAAGTAATTTACTAATATTAATATAATATTAAATAATTTACTAATATTATTACTAATAATAATTTACTAATATTAAGTAATTTACTAATATTATTATAATATTAAATAATTTACTAATATCAAGAATATTAAAAATAATATTCACAATAATAATAACATCAATGAATTCCTGATGTGCCAATCGGTAACAATAATAGCTACAATATTAGTAACTCTGGTCGGAGATACATGTGGTGCCAACCTCCCCTCCCTAGTAACATTTGACTCATAAAATTTCACTTACCCATGGAGAACCAACTAAACTGTTTAATTCTACTTCTTACCATAGTAAAAATTGATATCAGTTTTAACATGAACAAGCCGATATTAACATTAACAAGTAAATTCTATAATTTTGTGAAATATCAAAGGATCGAGGTACTTGTAACAAATGATTGTTTGATTCTTAATGGGTTGGACAAGGGGATGAATAACACCGGGCTCGATCCTTTCCCAATAATTGGGCTTTCGTCGACAGGGAATCGTACTTGAAAGCGGTGGCAAACGTCAATGGCCGATCACTGTCACTCTCGATGGGACGCTAATGGAAATTGTGCGTGACACGTGTTGCCTTCTAATTATATCCGATCAGCATACGGTTAATCACGAGAACTCTGCTGTAATTCTGGGGCAAACGTGCCTCTGCATATTCCCCCCCCGTCATGCACAGTAACATACATACATGTGGGAGTGTCCTAGCAAAATTGACACGCTGGTGATTGACGAAAGTATTCGTAAAAAAAAGAAACATTGCGTGGAATTGCCACTGTTATATATAAGAATATATATTTTGCTATTAGTCTTTAATTTAATTTGTAACTGTCATACAGGGGGCTCATGAAAGTATTCGAGCGCTCGTCATCGGAAGAATTTTTGTCTAATTATGTAAGTGGGTATAGTATGTGGGATCATGAATTTAAATTGCTATGAAATTACAATTATTGATCATTGATTATTATTATATTAAGTTATTAAATTAATATTATAATAATTATTCATTATTATTGTAAGACATTCACTGGAAGCATACACTTGATAAAAATCAATCTATTACTATATATATATATATATATAGTAAGTAATATAGTAAGTAATAGATATATATATATATTTTTTTTTTTATATATAAAAATAAAGTAAAGTAAAAATGAACGAAGGACTAACTTTGCTATTAATTGTTCACTGTGTCATTGAAACAAGATGAACAAGAGTTTTCTCTAAACGATATATCAGTTATAATAGTTAAATAAAATAAACAGGAAGAAGTTAACTCTTGCTGCAAGTCCCATTAAGCAACGTTATAAAAAATATATATTGCAAGACATTTCAAATGTGCACTCCACGAGTTTAGGTCTACTTACTTAGGTCGTTTCTGGTAGTCCATTGTTAATGGCAGCTATTCTTCGTGCACGAAACCTAAATGAAAAAAAAAGAGGAAACATTAATATCAACATTAATTTCTATTCTGTTGCTTCCAAAAATATACCATATGTACATATATTTATAACAGTTTCAGAGTGGAAAGTTGAGAATTAGTTTGTCAAAGTGTAGCAGATGATTCATCGAACACACTCTAAGGAATTATAGTGATAATTGGTTGGCTACATAAGGAAATTCATTTATGTTAGCGTTGTGACTTGAGAATTGTGGGTATATAGTTATTGGCGATGATTCATCGAGAACTAGAGCAAGATATTATTTTTCTCGGCAACTGTGAAATCTATTAATTGGCAATTTTTGCAATTGCATATCATGTACGTATTCTTTCGATCGTGGAGACTAAACAAATATTGTTTCTCCGTTAAAATACAAAATATCAGAGAAAATTATTATTATTATATTTTATTTCTCCTCCCTTATATAATAAAAAATTAAATTCTTATATGTTTTATATGTAAATTTATACTATATAAATAAGTTATAAATTTTTATATAAATTATTTTACTATAATAAAATTTATTCGTTATTAATTTTATTATTTAATTTTTAATTTTATATAAGTTATATGAAATTTTATTAATTAATTTATTAATTTTATTAATTAATAAATAAATAAAAATATATATATATATAAAAAAAAAAAACAGAATGAATAGGAAAAAATGTGAATTTACGTACATGTGTGTGCAAACACGTTGGCGAGTGTATTGCAAAATTCATACGTAATTATCTGCGATGAAAGTTGAACGTTGAAAAATAAAAAGTATCACCAGCTCTTTCAGTAAGAGCATAAATGTCGTACACTGTCGTACAAAAGTTTGGGGCTCTCGTCAATTTCATATTTAAAAGAAGAATAATGATAATAAAAAAAATATATATATAAAACTTGCGTTATTTTAATCATAAATAAATATAGCTCCGGTAATTACAAATAATTTATAAACAATTATCGGTATTTTTAATAAAATAATCTTGTAATAAATAATAATAAGAGCAAGTAGTAGCAAACAATAATAAATGAAATAAGAAATTTGATAATACAATGTCCGTTCAGAAAGAGGGCATGATTTTGTCCAAAATCGATGGGACAACTTCGAACTTTTGATCAACAGTGTATCACGATACATACATATGTATATGAGAACGTGAATGAAAGACTTGGCCTTTCAAGTTCATCCAGAAACTGCTCGTTTGACCTATGCTATTGATTTCTTCATCGCTGATACTAGCTTTATCATTGCGTGTACACACGCATACGTAACAGTGACCCGAGATTAACGCTCACATCCGCGATAAGTAGAACAGAAGTAGAATTTCCAATCAGCCCTACGAATCGTTCAACAGGAACACACGAGTCTCTCGTCGTGCTCCATTTTTTTTTTTTTTTTTTTTTAAATAACGCGTTCCTATATTTGAAGACTGCAGACAAGGGAGAGAACATGCTGAATAATTTTCTTTAAATTCAATAAAATATTTCATACCGTCTGTAAATTAATTTAGGATATTTTTAAACGACGCAAATATACAAAAATCGAACAGCATTTTATAAAAATGAAAACTGACTTTTGAGCGATTTGACTGTTCGAAGAAACGAGTTAAATGAAGAATTAAATATTCTTCGTAGACAAAACGAATAAATTTCGTGCAAGTAGTAGCTCGATCGGGCTAAATTATGCAGAAAGACACGATCTGAAGTAGAGTAAATCTAGTTTGAGGATTTCGATTAAAAAAGACAACAAAGTAAAAGAAAACAGATGCTTCGTTGTACAATATTTATTAAATAAATAATGAAATTACGGCTCGATCGTTCAACTGCGTAAGAATAATGTTCGATAAATCAGTAAATTTTCGCAAAACAATGATGAACGCACGAAGTTTAATTAATCTTTCGTCATTGGTTCGAGAGTAGGTCTCTGTATAACCGACTGCTGGAATAAAGATCAATTAATCATCCCTAATCAAAAAATAAACGAACAATCGAATTCGATGCAAGATTAATGATCAAATCCCCGAGTTCATAATAAATGTTATTACAATATTCAATACAAATATTCAATTCCTCCGAAGGGAATCGAGTATTCAAAAGAACAAACAAATGAGAAACTTCGAACCCTCGTTTCCCTTCGATATCGCGGTTGCCTGTTTTTTTCCATCGAGAACATAGCTTCCGCGGAAGACTCTGCTTCCACTTTCCTTAAGAAAAAAAAAAAAAAAAAGACTGCCCAACGTATGACAAACGAAACACCGATCGATCGTGAACTGAATCGGTATATATATCTGCCGTCCCGTCGATCCGATTATCGTTCGACAATCATCATCAGTCCCCCTTTCGATCGTTTCGTTACAGGGCTGAGCAGTTTGATGAAAGAAGATGCAACCGGTCGGGAGACGGTCACCGTTGCCATCGGCGAGGTAATTGGCACGGCGATTCTGGTGTTCATAGGATGCACGGGATGCATCGAGGGCTTTGGGATTCATCCGAGCTTGCTGCAGATCGCTCTAACCTCCGGGTTAGGTGTCATGATTGCTGTGCAGGTGAGAATCTCAGCAAAATTCGAACGTTGAGCTCGAGCGCCCCGATACATTGGCTCTGAAGAATCTGATCCTTTGTATTGTGATGTCGACGTTATTACGTATCTTTTTTTTTTTTTATTTAGTATTTATTATATTTTATTATATACTGTCATATTTTATTTTATTATATATACTATATGTATTATATATTTAGTATTCATTATATTTTATTATATTGTCATATTTTATTTTATTTATTATATTTTATTATATGTAGATTGGAGGAAGGGGGATTATTTTCACAGTCTCTGACTCTTTTCATGTTTTTTTTTCTTTTTTTTTTTACGTCTATCGTTCTTCTTGTACTTGGGAAAAATTCCTCGAATCTTCAAATTTTTCATCAATCAATTTCGAATCAATTAAAAATCTGCAATTGAGAATGACGAGCCATTTCTTGGACAATCCGTAACGCTTGTTTTCATATAAACGATTTGTCAAAACAATTAATTTTCGAACAACATCTAAATCACACCGTGGCTAAAAAAGAAATCCCCTAATTTTAACACGCGCAGTTACGATCAATTCAGAATTTAAACGATGCTAATGTCATTCCAAATAGGTTGATTCCATTGAACTCGTATGTTCTCTTCTTTTTTTTTTTTTTTGGCACTTTTGAAACTCATCGCGCCGCTTACAATTGCTAACGAAGCGAATAGAAACGAGGAATCGCAGGGTCAACGATTAGATCGAAGCTCTATTTTTAGAACGGTCAATCAGTTGTCCATTCCAGTTGCAGTCTGTATAAATTCTTCATTCCATGTTCAACTACTTCGTTTTTCTCTCGGCAGCTTTCCTCCTTTTTGCGTTTCCGCGATCTGTCCCCGATTCGATTTCATAAATTTTCTATCGCTTTTCGGATTCGTGTCGCGGTCTCCACGAATCCGAAGGGAGGAAAGAATCTGGCTAGCCCGAGGGAAAATTGGCCGAGAGTTGGCTGACTGATTTATCGCGATGACTAGTTCATGAAGTTTTTGAAAATTTCTAACCTTCTCTCTCTTTCTCTCTATGTGTATGTGTTCCATGAATTGAACAATTCATCTTTTATGAAATTAGAATAAAAATGAGCTCAACGTTGACACGTTGTAATTTAGTATGTTAATTAATAGCATCTAGTGGATGGAAATTTCATGTCTTTTTTCGAGGAAAAAAGTTAATTGTAATATTTTTTTATTACACATGTATTGTCCTACATTTTGTAGTTCATATGGAGCTCAACGAGAAGAGAAGAAGGAACTGAAAAATGAATTTTGTAAAGTTCAATAATAATGAGAAAATAGAGACCAAGTACAATATTATTGTGACTAGTAAATATTACAACAGAACGGAATACTTTTGATATATTTTATATTGTCATGTGCATTCTATGCATTTCAAATTTTCTATAAGTAAATATATATGAAAAATGTTCCATTGTTTTCAAACTACTTTGTTCCATTCTTTTCAAACCACTTAATATAATGCGAATATATATGTCATAATAATGTATTGTACATTATGATAATGTTAACATATAACACGGAATATTTATTTTCTATTTAATTATTGTTTTTACTTCATAGAGTGTTGGACATGTCAGTGGTGGGCACTTAAATCCCTGTATAACAATAGCAGCACTGATCCTAGGAAAAAAGTCTCTGCCCATGACTCTCCTTTATACTGGTGCCCAGTGTCTTGGTGCAATGTTGGGCTATGGTCTTATTAGGGTAAATCATCATTCAATATTGACGCTATCCTAACTTTTAGATCCTGATAACGTTTATACTTTCTATAAATCCCATTTAAATATTGAATATCAATGAATATGAAACTTTGGATTATTACTTATTATTGGTATTACTTATTATGAAATTTTGAATTATTAGGTATTAATTAGTATAGTATGTATGTATTTTACGTTATATTATAATACTCTCTATTAGTATTAATTGTAATGAAATATCAGTGTAGAAAATGCAATAAATTTTGGGTATTAATGTCTAATAATTAAATATGTATTATTCGATATTAGTTATTATATTTATTATACTTTATAATAACTTTATTATAATAAATATATTGTAATTAAACAAAACTAAAAATACATATTACACTATTAGAAATACTAATGCCATTATTAAATTACTAAATATTAGTACTTGATATTTATTATTCTATAAAAATTATCCTCGGTGCTCTAATATTTCATTATACCAATAGAGACTAATATCAATATCAGTTAGTAAATTAAAAATTTACTATACATTTAGACAACACATTTTAATGCACCATGAACTTTTGATATTTCGAATATAATACAACATATTTCAACGTGTCCAAATACTTTAATACTTTGAGCATTTCAATTTTAGTACTGATAAATATTAAAACAGAGAGATTGGTAAATTAATTCCAAATTAATAGTTTAACATATAATTTAATATGCCCGGGGTATACGTCCTGGGAGAATTTCGGTGATAAAGTCCAATCGTGAGATTTAAGTCTTAATGCAAAACATTATGCACAAGCTCATGAAACTTCAATTTATCACGTCTCTCCAGGTGATAACTCCAGTGGAACTAATGTACGCGGGACAACCAGATTCGGGAAATACCTTCTGCATGACCGACCTCCACGCCGACTTGTCCACATTCCAGGGTTTCATGGCCGAGTTCTTAGCCACTGGGATTTTAGTTTTCTTCGCCTGCGGTGTGTGGGACTGCCGGAACGTGAAGAACACCGACTCGTTGCCAATGAGATTTGGTTTCTGTATCACGGCGCTCAGCCTCATTTTCAGCCCCTTCACCGGTTGCAGTATGAATCCGGCAAGAACGTTGGGTCCAGCTGTTTGGAACGGTTATTGGAATAATCATTGGATCTATTGGCTGGGTCCACTCTGTGGCACTATCGTCGTGTCGTTAATATATCGATATCTGTTTATTTACAACAGGAGAGAGCCTGGACAGTGTGATTAGAAGATTATGATGGACGATAATGGTAGGTTTTGCAAGCACTGGATCTTTGAATTAACTTAACGCTGGTTGGATCATTGTTGTCACGTCGCTCTGAACATATTCCACTTAATTTTTGTAATTTTCATTTATATTTAGTGTGCCTTACGCATTTTATATTTTCAGTATTCTTAAACTTGATAAATTTGAAAAATTTGTTTCTTCACTTCTGTGGACCACGGGATTTTTATTCACCACGGATTTTGCAAAATATAAAATTTACATTTGCAAAGCAAAGAGATTAAAACGCGGGAGAAAAGCGTTTGTAATTTGTAATAACAACGAACGGAAACATTCGGCAAGGAATATAAAAATATAAATCGTAAGATGATATTGAAACTCGAGAGTCTGATAGCTCGCGGCCAGATCCGCCTCTGCCTTTATTTTTCTCTACGCTCGCTCGATTTCACCGGAAAACTGATCGAGGCTCCTCCTTGGAGGAGGAACGAGAGGCGTTTGAAAATAGATCGAGCCACGTTAATCGACTGTCTTGTTGGTTCCAGCGAGCAGAATCGTCCCGGTGGCTTACAGTTCACAATTCGAGCGAGAAATCCTAATCGTGTCGCAGGAGGGCCGGATGACAGGGCCGTGACGACGTCGGATGATCGAGAACAGCCGAATGCCACGCGAGGAGGACTTCCCCCGTTGCGTAGACTGATATTTCAAAACGATTCGTATTCGATCAATCGCTCGTCATTCTAACTTCCCTATGAAGCGACCGCGCGTCAATCGGTTTTTCAGTATCTCGCGGCGTGAAATTCAGGCCAAAGTGGTTTCGCGATGTTTCTCCGACGAGGGGAGAAGAAGAGGAACAGAAGAAAGAACTGCGAAACTCTGTCGCGCGAAAAGAAAACGCGAGAAAGGACGACAGACTGTTTTCGATATTTCGTTTGTCTCGTGATGGAATTGCAAGGATTCGTTGCATTTGTTAATGAAAATTTCGAAATGGAGAAATAAATTTTATAGAGAGTTTTAAGAAATTTTCCTTTCGTTGTATTACTCCCACTGTGCTTTCATTTCGACGCTTCGTTTCGACGCGCTGAGATTGTGAAAAGGATTAACCACTTTACCAATGATAACATTTTATGCCATTCGACTTTAAGATTAGAAACAAGATAATCTTCGAGTTACATTGTAATTTCTTTCTGGCTAACTTTATGATTGATTTGATTAAAAAGTTCAGATACACGTTCTGTGTTTGAAACAGTGGCCGTAAACGCGCCCGATGCGCGTTGGTTTGACGCGCATGCGTCTACTGCGCATGCGCCTCACCCGATTTTCATATTTATGAACTTCAATGAACGATAACGCTTTTCTTTTTCAAAATGTGATTCGCAAATGTCGCGTTCGCCTTTACTCTATCTTCCGTTTCACTAAAATCGCTTTAAATATGCACTGCAACATAACCTGACAATTGTTCGACAGGTTACAACGACCGACAACAATCTGTCAATCCCTGACTGTCACAGGTGGTCGATTATTATAGAGCGACAAAGATTTATCCACTCAATCAAAGCTTGTTCTTGTTCCCAACCTAATTTCATCCGATACCAACGAAACCTTACAAACTCTTCAATCGTTTGACTGAAATCGCTTCCGATACGCGGATGGAACATAACCTGACAACCCAGATACATTTTCCCGTCACACCCCTATTTACCTCTCTCACCACAACACTCTCAGATCAAACGAAAGTGTTTCGTTTCATAGAAACGATGCCAACCAATCGAAGACGAAACATATAAACAACTATATAAAAATCATTTTCATTTCAAAATTCAATCTTCGTGTACTTGCGTGTTTGATCTCATCATTGCGACATAAGCTCTACGTACATTTCCCTCGACATTCCCCCGCCCGGAACTGTCCAGAGTCCCGCGTTTGTTCACGGTCGTGCGAGTTTGTTGCACACGCGTTTAAAAATAAAACTAAGTTTCTCGGCAATCGAAAATAAACGCAGGTGCACAAACACACGCGTGACCTATATGGCGCGCTGCGCGCGACTGGCCTGCCATCTGGCGGGGCAGGAGGGTTAACAGGAGGGGAGGGGAGGTGGAAAAGTGGGGAGGGAGAAGTTTCCCGCTGAATCGACGGTGTTCGAGAGAACGGCGACCACGTGCCACGGGCCGCGATAAAAGTGCGTACGATCGTGCCCGTTCACAAACTATCGGGACGAGCGAGCGTGCGCTGCCTCCTCCTCCTCCTCCTCCTCCTCCTCCTCCATTTACGCTGCTTCCTCCGATCGATCGAGATCGCGCGGAACCGTCCTCGATCTCTTTCTCTCGTCGTCGGTCCCCGAGTGTAGTATCGTAGTATTATAGTAGAGAGTGAGTGTGTGAACACACGGCTGGCGTCATGTCCTCTGGCGGATTTCGCTCGGGTAAGTGTATGTACATACAGAGCGTGTGTACACTATCGTTTATAAATCGGCGGACGTTTAATAAAGTTATAAAAGGTTGGCTGCGATTTGTACGTTGGGTGGCTGAGGATTTGACGGTGCAGTTTTTAGTTGTTTCTTATTTTTTAGATTTCCTCAGCCTTTGGTAAGCCAAGACTGTATTGCGAGTCACTCTTTGGCTCGGTATGAAATAATACAACAGCAGCTGTAAAGTATTAAAGTATTTACGTTCCTTTTTCGTGTGAAGTATAATGCAATTGTAGAGAGTATTTGCATCTTTGTTGTTGGGACTCAGTCGTGAGATGATATTTAGCAGTTGGAGAGCAATTTCGAAGCAGATATCATTGATAATGAAAATAATGTAATAAATAAATAGATGAATAATATATATATATACACTATAATATTATAATATATATAATATTACAGTTAATGTATATAATATATATAATATATATAATATTCCATTTAATATACAGTTAATATAATATAATATTAATATATTAACTGTATAATGTAATGTAGTATTATATATTATTATACGTACAATGTAATATAGTAATAACACAAGAAGCACAATCAACGCGAAAAATCGTGCGGAGAGAATTCTAACTATGTTTGCCCGAAAACGCGCGAAGTTTTCCGAAAACTTTTGCGCGACATTGTACACAATAACTCGTGCCAAGCAAATTATTCTTAAAGTCGTTCAAGTTCACTGAAACGTAAACTAGGTTAGGTTTAATTCCGTGTTAAGCAGATCGAGCGAGAATTTGTTAAAGGTGGATTTCGAGAGGGAGGAATTGATCGGTATTGAGCGGGGTAAAACGGCGGAGCATGATCGGCGGGTATAACGATGCGTTTTGTTTGGCTTCGTTGTCGAGGTGAAACGAAAAGATTCAAGAGATGGGAAATCTCGGTTTATAGTTTCGGAGGAGAATCTGTCTTGCTGATATCGATGAATTTTGGAGCAATCGAGTCGAACGATTCAGTTTCGGAGTAACTTGAAAACTGTAAATGCTATAAAGATTTTATAACAAACTATGATAATATACTAAGTAGATTCTATGAGGGAACAAGAAGACGATAAAATCCAGGGATTTCTTCTAGAAATCTACGTAACAAGTAGCATAACTAATGTCTCGACTATGCACTATGTGGATGCATGAGTGCAAGGATAAATGAGAGAGAGAGAGAGAGAGAAAAAAAGTGCATATAAAGTACATATGTATTACGACGATTGAAGAGATGAAGCGTGCTGTTCGTTAATTCTGCATTCATGAATTCAAAGAAATCGCTTCGAATCGAAGGAAACTTTGTCGTCTAATCCCTGTTAATTCAAAGTTCAATAAAATCGTTATCGGAGAGAAAATTTCAAATTTCGTGGTGGACACTTTACGAGAAGAAAATTTTCCGACAATTCTCAATTTTGATAATTCCCAAGAGCAAGAGTATCCTCACTTTATCATCTGTTCCGTGCATCGTGTGTTACAAAGTCATCTGTGATAAAAAAAAAAAAAAAAAAAGAAACGAATTGAATTCAGGGTTGCTCGGGATCAAGTGGATTGTTATTTGATTTTTTTTCCTACAAAGTTGTAACTATTTAAATGACCGGTAATTGCCGATGTTCATGCAATTTTGTATTTTGCTATAGTTTATATTTAGTTAATTACACATATATAATTAATACATATATATATATAATTATAACTATAGTTAATTATATATATAATTATAATTATAGTTAATTATATATATATATAATTATAATTATATATATAATATTATAATAGTTAATTATATATATAATTGTAATTATAGTTAATTATATATATAATTATAATTATATATATAATAGTTATATATATAATATTATAATAGTTAATTATATATATAATTATAATTATAGTCAATTATATATATAATTATAATTACAGTCAATTATATATATATAATTATAATTATAGTCAATTATATATATATAAAATTATAATTATAGTTAATTAAGTATAATATTTAGTACAATTACATATAATTATAATTACAGTTAATTAAGTATAATATAATTACGTACAAAAGTTAATAAGTTAATATATAATATAGTTATATATAATTAATAATATTTACGTATTTCATAATATTATATTTATCATGATTAGTTGCACCTTATACTCATGATTAAACAGACAGAAGAAACAGTTAGAAAAAATTATTCCTCCTGTTAGATATTGCACGAAGCAATTATACTTTGTACATCATACACATTTTTCCATATTACAAGACTATGCATTTGCGCATCTTTAGGATTCTTTTTTTTTTTCCATAAACGCATAAGCGAATCCGCTGTCTACAGTTGTTAATTCAGTTATGCTCTTCGCTATGCGAACAGGAAGTAATAAAAAACGTTGCGAGATAGTGAAAGGATAATAATAATAACAACAACAATAACAATAATAATAGCAATGATCAAACAAAACCCGATCAGATGAAACATTATTATTATTATTGCCTGTTTGTGAGCGTTTGTGACATGTGCCGATTAAATCGATCGAAAATTGAAACCACCGGTCATACAGGGTGTCCAGTTTTTAATGTATAAATACCGTGACCTTCGTTCGACCTCTACACGTTCCTCTGGAAGAAAATTACTTTGTTTGTATGTCACCAGATTGTGACAACCATTCGTTTCTTATCTGAACTACTTTCCCAGACGACGGATAACTTACGTTTATAAATGTGCTGGGATTGGGCAATTCGAAGTATGTATAAAAAGTCACAAGTTTGGTCAGAAATAATACGTTCCCGATTTATCGTTATTTCACATTTGAGAAGTGACGTTGTCCCGAGTTCAAATCGAATCGGATATTATTCATCTGATTAAATAAATAATATTCGTTGGAATAAGGCATAATTCCACAAAAGTGCAATAATATAAAATATAATAAATATTCTTTTGTGTTATAATATATAAATTGTAAAAATATTATAAAATATTATAATATTATAAAAATATTATAAAATATTGCAATATTATAATAAAAATATTATAAAATATTATATTATAAAAATATTATAAAATTATAATATTATAGTAAAATATTATAAAATATTACAATATTGTAATAAAAATATTATAAAATATTATAATATTATAAAAATATTATAAAATATTATAGTATTATAAAAAAATTATAAAATATCACAATATTATAATAAAAATATTATAAAATATTATAATATTATAAAAATATTATAAAATATTATAGTATTATAAAAAAGTTATAAAATATTATAATACTATAATAAAAATATTATAAAATATTAAATATTGTAATAAAAATATTATAAAATATTATAATATTATAAAAATATAATATTAATAAATATAATTCCGCAAGATGAGTGAAGTTTGCAAACAGTTTAAAAAAAATTGGAAATTATGTGAGAAATTATTCGTAGAAACAAATACAAGAACAGAAAAGTAGAAGGTAGAAGTTTCACGTTTCGAAATGGTCGCCAAGTGGATCCTTGCGCCATCTTTCTTCTTCCGAAGTTACATCCAAATTTATCAATATTTTTCACTATTATTGGCGCAGCGTACGCTATCATATTCGCTTTTATATGTATTATAAAACTCATTCTCAGGGAAATCTAGCCTCGTACCGCGACCTTGAAACCACATCCAGTTGCACGCCGCTCGAAATATCGCGCGATCGGTGAATAATTAGAAGTTTCGCGGGAAACGCAGCGCTCGCGTTTATGTGCTCCCCGTGCTTCGAGGTACATTCATTGGCGAAGTATTAAATTACAGACGTACCGATTGCATTTGTAATCCCCTTTCGGCTTCGTCTTTCGAGTCTGATTTAAACAAACGAGCGATTAACCTCGAAGGGGAATCTCTTTCGAACAGTTTCCGCAAAACTGGCAATGAGAATTGACACGAGAATTGCCGTGAAACTGAGAATTTGCGAATTAGTTCCGAGTTCGCGTGAAAATAATCCACGGTCGAAGCAGAAGCGTTCATCGCAAATCTCATATTTTTCGTACTTTTGTAGTTTTTTTTTTTTTTCACAAAACGTCTGCTTTGCATTTTTGCACTTTGCATTCCCACGAAGTCTGTTTTGCACTGTTTCATCATCGAACGATCTTACGAAGTTTATTTTGCAATTCCAATGTCTTCGCATTGAGCCTTCACGTTTCACTTCGATTTGAATTTAATTTTACTCGAAACTTCATTCGCTCGTGATTCTATATTTTCCCCGAGTGCCATCGTGATGTTCCGCAATTTAACATTTCAGCGAAACCTATTTTGCATTTTTGAAATTCAATATCTTCACGATTGCCGATTTTACATTATCATAATTTCATGTTCCTGCGCTTACGCTATCCTCGATTTTTATCCAACTATTTCATATTTCGTTTCAATATTTATTTCCACGAAGCCTAATTTTGAATTCTTGTCATTGAATATTTCCACGAAGCCTGTTTTTTTTTTTTTTTTTCTGTTTCTATATTTTTATACTTGTACGAAGAGATCTATATATAGAGTCAATTCTACATTTCAAAATGGAGAAAATTATTTCACCTTCACTTTAAATATTCTACACTTATATTTCATACAATTGTATTCTATTCTACTTTATTTTTTTCCATTCAATTTTATTCTATTCTTACTTTATTTTTTTCTATTCAATTCTTTTCTATTCTTACTGTTTGAATTATTGCTTTATTGGCATTTATGCATTTTTAAATTATATTATACCTGTTGTTTGCACTGTGCCTTGCATCTGCACGTGTCTGGAGATTTTTGTGCATTTATTTATCAATGGAGATTTTATTTATTCAAATGTTGGTTATTATTTATTTATGTGTATTTATAATGATGGATGACAAGCCGGAATTTTAAATCAACGATTTCCAGCTATCCTTCGTCAATCAAACGTGTTCTTTATTTAAATGTTAACTTGATTAATTCAGAAATTCAA